AAATCACCACTTCAGTCGTGGAAAAAGCGGTTATTCTGAATTAAAAACTAAATAACTGAAGCGATTTTAATGAATTCCTTATAGTACAGATCTGGAAGTATATTTTTTTAAGAAGTAATGAAAAAAAAATAGAATTTTCCAAATTTATAAGTGAGAGAGTTCTGAGGTAACTAACATTAAAAAAATATAAACGAATTCAGAACACCCTTTTTTAAAGTCGATTAAACACAAAATAAAAAAAAAAACAAAATAAATAGTATAATAAATATCTGATACGATGAAACAATATATATATATATATATATATATATATATATATATATATATATATATACTTTTTTTAAGTCGGTTAAAAATTCAACCGACTTCAAAAAAGGAGGTTCTCTATACTTTTGCAATTTTTTTATATTTGTTACTTCATACCTCCGTCAGTTGTAAACCAATTTGGAAAATTATTATTTTATCCGAAAGTATATACTTACAGATTGGTCGCATAGAAATTTTATCAAAATCGGATCAGCAGTTTAGTTTTTAAATCAAAATAACGGATTCCGTCATAGCTGAAGTCGTATTTTTTTTGTGGTACACAATCTGAAATTAATTTTTAATTCAATACAAAAAATAGTCGAATTCAGTAATATTTTTTGTATATTATAACTCCATATCGGCCAAAGTGGTGTTTAAAACTTTTTGCCTTCCCAGCGTTCGTGTTCTCATTTACCCTCACGGTGACCATAACACTTATTTTAAGCGGGACAGTCTCACTAAATATTATTATAAAATTTAAAATATCGAATTTAACATTAAACATTTTATTTTCGAAAAACGTTTATGAAAAACATGTTTTTAATTAATACATATTTTTTTTCTATTCTTTCATTTAAATACATAGAAATGACCTTTAATATTTTTTCTTTAAACGCTCGATTATTATTACGTAAAAGATGTTTCAAATTAATATTTCCCTTTTCCTTTTTTTTTTAATAAAGGAAAATGACGTTTAATTTTTAAAAGCCCTCAAGCAATTATTACAAAAATGTATATTTTAAAACCGTTAAAATAACCTGTGCAGGTAAGTACCGTTGAAATAACTTCCCTGCTTATCTTGTTGGTAACCTAACGTGAATAATAGGGTAATATTTATTATATATATATTTTTTATACAACTTATAATGGCAAACAAGCTGACGGCCCACCTGATGGAAAGTGGTAACTGTCGCCTATAGACATGAGCAGTACCACGGACATAACATAGTATACTGTTTCGTCCATGATACTCCCCATGCGTTGCCATTCCTGAGGACTTAGATGTTATTCCTCTGTACCCTGTAAATTCACGCCATATCCCACCCTTCAAACCGAAACACAGCCATGCAAACACAACTGCTTCACGGTAGAAACACGAATGGGACAGAGGTACCCAAGCAATCGACTTTTGTACAAAGTCTCCCTCTGGTTTTTAAATGCACAATTACTGTAAATTGATGTGCAAGTTTGTATGCAGTAGTCCTGTCTTTGGATTTAACCGTTCTGTCATTTTAATAAGCGAGATGAGGAGGAAGAGTTAGATAAGTGTAATAGTTAATTTATTATAATAATTCTTTCCTCATGTATTATTACTTTTAAAATATATTTTTTAATATTTTAAAAAATCCTGCTACAGTTCCAAATATTGACCAAATATTTTCAATTTATTACTCCTTTCGTGATTAAAGAAAGACATTTTACAATCGAAGTTATCTATATTCATGCCATAAATATATTACAGGATTGGCAGTGAATCGGTATCCAGGTGCCTGTATCTGTGACAGTTATTACTCCTCTGCATCCAAAGGTTGCCTGGAAGAGATCGCTGTTAGCGATAAGGTCACCTATTGTTTTCTCATTGTGATTACTTCTTGTAATTATTTATATTTATAATAAGTTTACTATTACCAGAGGGAGACTTTGTACAAAAGTAGTTTGCTTGTGTACCTCTGTCCCATTCGTGTTTGCTTGGCTGTGTTTCGGTTTGAAGGGTGGGATATGGCGTGAATTTACAGGGTAGAGAGGAATAACACCTAAGTCCTCAGGAATGGCAACGCATGGGGGGTATCATGGGCGAAACAGTATACTGTGTGATGTCCATGGTACTGCTCATGTCTATAGGCGACGGTTACCACTTTGCATCAGGTGGGCCGTTAGCTTGTTTGCCATTCTAAGTTGTATAAAAAAAATATTGTGATCTTTTTGAGGAAACAATAAAGAGTATCTATCAATCTACATACAAATAACGTCATACAATTCTTATTTAATTGTTTGTGCCTATAATAAATTTACTATTGTACTTTTTTGGTGGAAACAAAATGTATCTATCTCTCATTTCGTCTATTTTCATAACTCATCACTTGCATGTAATAATGATCATGGAAATGCTTAAGATCAGATTTGATTTTGAAGTTCTCCAAGCTAATATCTATAATTAGTGAATCTTAGATTTTGTCAATCACGCCATCTCTAGAAAGGAACATGGGAAGCGTCTACCGTGCCGCAAATCCTCATTATCCTTATACATATAAAAGTACCAATTGTCCATTTAATAGAGTGAATAATTACTCTTTCTTTATGTACTTCCTCTGTGCTTTAATCCCCTAACTCTATTTATATAATTAGTTATTACAAAGGTTTTTGAGTAAACAACAAATCGATAGAGTCAGAGACATATATTTATTATACCGTTGCGGTTAGGAAGAATTATAATTATAACATTCGAATACAATTTAACAATAAACGAGCCCGTCGTTGCCTTCAGATTATTTTACTTGTTAACAATTTTTTCCATTACTGGAGAATTAGTTGGACTTCTAGATTAACAAGTATTTCTATTAGATTCGAACTCGTGACCTTTTGGCGACTACAAATCAGGCTAGAATACTACTAGGCCACGATGCCACAGACGGTGTAGTGTTCTAATAAAAACATTAGTACGTTCAATAGTCTGAGAAGCACACTTTAAAGATTAACACCCCCAGCCCCACCCCGCCGCCCCCTACAGGCGTCAGTACAAAATAGGAATAAACTCTTGCCCGCGTACCGTTCCACCAACGTATTTACATTTGGCACCCTCGAAAAAAAATGTTTGTTTTGCCACGACCGGCCGTTCCCCTTGCTTTGTCTGGCGATCGATAAACTCGTACCCCATTTAAAGGAATAGTCGGTTATTATAATTAATCCCACTCGTGTTTTTTTAAACGAATTTAAATGGAAGCCCGTTCGAGCTATTAGTTTACACAGGCGGAGTACGAGTGAGTGATAATAGGTGCGGACTGCGAATGCTGCCAGGTTTCATCCCGTTGTGACGAATTCTACAAAAATTGACTAGCAGTCAACCTGATAGAGCCAGAATGGACCCATAATTCCCGTTATTAACACTTCCCTTCCTCCATCTTTCTCGTATTATAAATGCGAGTGTTCATAAAGTTTCTTTTATCCATGTTAAAATAATAACCAATCCGTCAACTTACGTTTATAATATTTAGAAGTCTACTTGTCAATTAATTAGGATTGAATCCCCAAAAATAATTATCAGAAAAAAAGGAAAATCCGTTTATTAAGTATTAAAAATAATTAGTTGATATATTGGTGGACACCTAATTAAAAATATGAATAATTATACGTAAACGTTTGTATGGATTAGTGTACTGACGTCAAACGTAAAGCAAAATAACGTCTCTTCGACGTGATTTTGGATCGATTACATTAAACGACGGCCTATCATCTCTTTATTATTGTTTATTATGGAATTAAATGTTGTTTGAATATTAATTTTTTAGTCCAAAACAGATTCCAAAAGGTTTTTTGTATCAACTAAATATCCACTGGGAGTTACTGCACACAATTTAAGTAGGAAAATAAATTTAGCGGACTATAATGAGAGCATTATCTAACTACCTGTTTTTGAAAGGGTTTAGTGCAGTAGCGGGTTTGTTTACAATAAGTAAATAGTATGCATATTAGTTACCGAGCGCTTCTATTAAAATTGACGTGTCTTGCTTTCTTTCAAAAAAACTGAACGACTTTTCATAAGGATGCCAAAAGTTCTGACACATTGCTTTTATTACCTTAAATGTTTGTTTTAAACAAATAAATATTTTATTTAATTTCAATTCAAAGGAAGAAATATTAAAAAATATTTTAAGCCTTATATTAAAACATTTTTTACACGATTCCTGTTCCTGCTCCAAAGAAAATCGATCACGTGACCCCAAGATTTGTGGAATTAAGTAAATGAAAAATAAAATAGACATTATAGCTAAAAAACATCCCTAACAATATTCCAAATACTTATATGCTACAATACACGCTACTTTAAATACAAAAAACAATGGAGAGATGGAGACATTCCCGTGTGCGGTGATCGCGTGGTCACCGTACCGTGGGTACAAGTTTATTTCGATTCGCTCATTGTCGGCTTTACAAAGAGTGCTAGCTTAATCTCGCCGCCCGCACACTCGTTGTTTACAATGTAAACATCGAGAAGACTTTTCGCAAGCAGCGCACTGCACTGACACGGGCCCGACCCGCGGCATCGGACCACGACAGGCGGGGGTCGCGACCCACCAAAAAAATGTACGAATAAACTGCGGAAGCATTCCGAGATATGGGCATCCACGTAAGTACAGTGTGTGCACGCGTGTCGTCGGCCGGTGGCAGAGCGCAGGGCGCAGGGCGCCACCGGCATCCGAGTGCGGCGGAAAGCCCCCGCCGATCGATCCGCGGAACACTTATAACTTTCACATTAGCAATAACAAAGTAGTCAAGTCTAAAATAAATTAATTACGTAATGCGATACCGAATGGAAAGTTTCGCGAGACGAGGGTGCGCGGGCCGAGCGGGGGGTGGAGGCTCGACGGCACGCGGGGCGCCCGGGGCGAGGCGGCGGCGCGGGGGGCCGCGGCGGGAAAACTTTTACGAGCGCGACGCTCGTGCGTGACCGGAGCGAGGATGCATGCGGTACTCACCCTTTCTTCCTCGCGGATCATCTCGGCGATGCCAGGGCGGATATCGACGTCGTCGGCGTGCAGGCCCGCCAGCGAGGGGCCAACGTGGCCGCCAGGCTCGCCGGGTACGGCGCCCGCCGGCGGCAGCTCGGCCGGCGCGCTTGGCGGCGTGCTGGGCGAGCGGCGAGGGCTCGGGCCCGGGACCGGGCTGCGGTCGCGTTCCGTGGACACGTGCCGGCGAGCCTTCGCCGACGACTCGCTGTCGCGGCTGACGGGCCGTTTGGGCGCGCGGGGGTCGAGGCCGGCCGGCCCGGCGCCGGGCCGCAGCACGGCGTGCTCACCCACGTCGGTCAAGCCGCGGATCTTCAGCGTCTCGGCCACTTTCAACAGCGCCGTGATCTGGTCCTGCGACACGTTTATCTCGCCACGGTACATGAAGTCGACCACCGCTTTCAGGTCGCAGTACTTTATATCGCGCATTATTATAATCGGGTGTTGGCACGGATTGTCCATGAACAGTGCTTGGAAGTAGGGGCTGCACGCGGACAACACCACCTTGTGCGCCTTCAGGCTCTGCCCCTCGCAGGCCAGCGTCACGTCGACGAACGACTCGGTCTGCAGGAGCTGGTCGAAGCAGTTCGCGAGGTTACTCTGGTAATTGTTCCATCTCAAACAGAACTGCTGGGGCGACCCGTCCACGTCCCGGCTCTCCATCGCCGCGGGTTCCTCCTCGGCCGGCATCTCTCTAGCGGCAACGGGCTCGCATCTGCAACGTAACGCGTCCGTGATGAGAGCGCGCCACACATGCACCGCGCGCGACGACTCGCGACTCACTGAGTGGCGGCGCAGCGTGCGGCGGGGCGCGGCGCGGGGGGGCGGCGGCGGGGGCGGGGCGCCGGGCCCGGTCGCCGGCGAATGGGGCATCGCGCCGCCTCCGGGCCCCGCCCCGGCGGCGCGCGCCCAGCGTCCCCCGCGCCCCCATCGATCGCCCCGCGACCGGCAGCGCCCGCGCAGCGAGCGCGCCCGCCCGCTGCACTGCACTCTAGCACATTTGCACGCTGCACTATGCGCCGCTCACAAAATGCAATGCTCGCGGCATTTACACATAGATTTTCAAAAATGCTAACTTAATATTTTGGACAAATTCAAATTAAAATAATAAGGAAATATATTATAATTTTGATTTCGAATTATTTCTAACAGATAGGTTTTTACCTACAGTACTAAATAATTCATTTCTACCTATGTAAGTGTAGTTCAAATTAAGTCAAACAATACAAAACAATACTGTTAGTCACCAAACTATATAAGCTACAAAATTGCATATTAAATAGCGCAGTCACGATATCTTCAACTGTAGACGTGCCTATTAAATAAATATACGGACACAAAATCTACCTAATCTAGTGGGTATTATAAAAAGGATAGATTTGATTATATTTCCTTGCAGTTGGATAAACTAGAAAATAGAATAAAATAACCTCGTGTAGTAGAAAGTTTAAAAAAATTCTACCTATCTACCCGTGCGAAATCGGGGCAGATCGCTAAGTTATAAATTATCTAGGTTAATAAACGTTCAATACACGCGCGACTCTGCCCGCGTAAATGGTAACCTACAGTAACCTATGCGCTAAGTTAACTTAGCTAAGTTACCCTAAATGGGTATACTACCCACCAACACAATAGTACCAGGAATCCATAAAATGCAAGTGACTCAAATATTTCGTAGCAATAAAACAGTCTAAGGTACTTATTTAAAATCCGATTAACACTTCATATATTAGCGATAAAGTTTTAATAAATAAATAAATATTTTATAGTCCATGGTTTTCAATATGTACCTACCCTATTTTCAGATGTCCTATTAAGGAACAAACAGCTATAGGGTGTTTTATTCTGGGTGTCATATTTTTAAATTACAAAAATAACAATTTCAATTTGATATCATAGCGCGATATTTATTTAATATTTATTTATTTAATAAATATAAAATAATATATGTAATAAATTGCTAAATTCCCCTAGTGATAAGACAGCCTTTTGTACATTTATGTACATATGTGTACACTAGTGATCAAACCCGGCTTCGCACGAGTAGACAGAATTTTCGAAAATCAATACATACATACAATAAAAAAAGTGTCAGCCAATTCAACTGATCGGTTATTTTATAGCATTTTATATGTGATTCTTTAGATTAATATAACTTTATTATTTATGAACCGATTGAAATAAAACACTAAATGTTAAATGGAGCAAACTGCAATGCATTAGTGAAAACCGCATTCAAATCGGTTAAGCCGTTACTGAGATTAGCATGCACAAACGTACAGACAAACAGATAAAATTTCTAAAAATCATTGTTCTGAGTTCTATTGCGTTCATAAAGCCCCCCTATAATAGTTTTTCTTATATATCGTCTATGTACAGACAGCGAGCAGTTACGATTTTATTATATGTATTGACTCTTATATGAACTTTATGCTACTGTATTTCACTTGAATTGTTTATACGTCATTGTTTATTATTATGTTTCTGGTTCAATAAAGAGTTAAATAAATAAATTAATATTTTTTTTTTATACAACTTAGAATGGCAAACAAGCTGACGGCCCACCTGATTGAAAGTGGTAACTGTCGCCTATAGACATGAGCAGTGCCATGGACATGACAGAGTATATTGTTTCGCCCATGATACCCCTCATGCGTTGCCATTCCTAAGGACTCAGGTGTTATTCCTCCGTCCCCAGTAAATTCACCGCCATATCCCACCCTTCAAACCGAAACACAGCCATGCAAACACAACTGCTTCACGGTAGAAACACGAATAGGACAGAGGTACCCAAGCAATCGACTTTTGTACAAAGTCTCCCTCTGGTATTTCCAATACATTTAAGTGGAAATTATTATAAATTTAATTGATAGAACAATAATTTAATAATTTTACGACACAAAACAAATTAAAACATTCTGTACGTATACCAAAAAATCAAAATTACGAATTTTCGTGCACAAATATCGTATTATTGATCATATTTTAATCGGTTCAGTAAATGGAGCATAACGTTTCGTTCGTCATAAATCCTACTATAGAAGTACAAAGGAACGGTATTATAACATTTTTAAATATTTTTAAACGGTATGTGTTATGTAATTTTAATATTAAATTTTTGTTTGGTTCAGCCACGAAATTTCAAAAAATATTTCATGGTAGGCCCCCATAATAGATAGGTTTCATTTTAATAGTGTCTCGAAGTTATTGTTTTATGAAGCATCTTAAACTACATTTATTTATTTTAATAACTTTATTGTCCAAAAGGAAATATGGTACAAAAGGCGGACATAATGCTAGTAGCATTCTCTACCAGTCCAACCTTCACGATGACCAGGGAACAAATGTGTTATTTCGTTATTGGAATAGGTAAAGAGAATAACAACTAATAATGTATACCGAAATAAATAATACATACATAAATATAAAGGAATTTGCATATATATATATATATATATATATATATATATATATATACACAACTAAACAGATATGGAGGGGGGAGGGTTGTTAGTAATGCGTACCAGTCCCATTCACATTTTACCAAAGAGATTTTATACAAAAGTCGTTTGCTTGGGCACTTCTGTCCCATTCGTGTCTGAAACAGTTGTGTGAAGCAGTTGTGTTTGCATGGCTGTGTTACAATTTGAAGGGTGGGATATAGCAGTGAATTTACAGGGTACAGAGGAATAACATCCGAGTCCTCAGGAATGGCAACGCATGGGGTGTATCCTGGACAAAACAGTATATACCCTGACAGGTCGACCTCCCCGCGGTCCCCCCTGGAAACCATCGTGCTGAATTCCAGGTGCATTCATGACGACGGGCTAACAGACCTGCTTTTTCATTATCCACCTGTCATGCATTACTGGTGCCCCGCCAGTGTATACCGATAGCGCAAGCAGGGTTACCATACCATTATCATCCATAAAAGAAAATCTAAACCTGTATAAAATAACCTCTGTCATATTTTTACGTATAAATAGTGTTAACAATAAAGTATTAAATGTATAAATAAAATATATAAAATTTTCATCGTGCCTCCGATCAAACTGTTTATAATTACTCCTCTCCATCCAAACGTTGCCTGCAAGAGATCGTTTTTAGCGATAAGGTCGCCCATTGTTTTCTCATTGTGATTATTTCTTGTAATTGTTTATATCTATAATAAGTTTACTATTGTAATCTTTTGGAGGAAACAATAAAGAGTATCTATCTATCTTAATATATTCGTTATTTGGCCAATATATTGTATATATATATATATATATATATATATATATATATATATATATATATATATATATATATATATATATATACCAATTTACATACTTATTAGCCGTTTTTGGAAAATGAGGCGTGAGTGAAGATGGTATGGTAATCCCGCTTGCGTTATGGGTATACGCTGGCGAGGCACCAGTGAGGGATGATAGGTGAGGATGAAGGCAGGTCAATTGGCCCATAGTGAGCAATTAAACAAGAATTATGGTTTCCATTATATTTTCCAAAAGGAACCGCGTGGAGGTCGACCTGATAGAGTGTATTGCTAGTAATGGGGCTGTTAAATCTCATTCCCAGCAATCCCTTTCCCACCAGTTAAGTCGTTTAGGCGCTTAGCTTCATTTCATATAATTTATCATTTAATTATATATGAAATGAATTTAATTTCATATATAACTAAATGAATAAATATAAATTAATAGAATTTGTTTTTTAATTTAATTTTGTAAATTTATATTAATTATAATTAGTCCATTACCCAGTAAGGTTGTATTGAAAAGATCGCTCCCAGCAATAAGGCCGCCTTACTGTACTTATACAACTGTATCGTTACATTTATTAATTGTCAAGCTTATTCCCTATATTGTATAATGCAAATAAAGTATACTTATTCATTCATTTATTTAGATAAAAGTGGCGTATGAATTCTCGTCTTTCCGTCGAGTTTATACGACAATCTAATACTATATAAGAGAAATAGATATATATTTGAAAATAACTTATGCGAAGTATAGTTTGGATTAAAGGATTTGCGGCATATAAGTGCCCACTTTTAACCGACTTAAAAAAAGGAGGTTCAATTCGCCTATATTTTTTTTTATATTCGTTACCTCCGTCAGTTGTAAACCGATCTGGACCACATTGCCATTCTTGAGGAATAAGACTTCATGCCTCTCTACCGTGTAAATTAACTGTCATACGCCACCCTTCAAACCGAAACACAGCCATGCAAACACAACTGCTTCACGGTTGAAACACGATTTTTTTTTATACCACTTAGGTGGCAAACAAACATGCAGACCATCTGATGGTAAGCGGTTACTGTAACCTATGAACGCCTGCAATACCAGAGGTATAACGCGCGCGTTGCATACCCTGAAGAAACCTCTTCACTCCTCCCTCTTCCCCCTTTTTAAAGAACGAATGAAACAGAGTTGGAACTGCTGAACCGGTTTAGATGAAGTTTCTATAGGACCATTTTGAAAGTAGGTATATTGTTTCAATTAAAGGAATTTTCCAACTCAAATTATAAATGTCAGAGTTATGAGATAACAAAAAAATTATACTCCTTCTTTTTAAAGTTTGTGAAAATGGGGACTCTAGTCCCCAGTACTAAACAATCCACTGCAATAGGTATTATATATACAGATAACAAAAAAAAAACACAGACTATTCCAAGGAAGACATAATGCGTGTGTTAATTTTAGTGCG